GCTCTCCCAACACCACCACCCACTGGCCTTTTCACTTTCCCTTCCTCTCCCTAGGACTTCCTCTTCTTGACTTCCCTGTTCAACCCTTGGTCAACAGGTTTCTGCCCCTAGTCTTGACCACGGGAGATCTCTCCCACTTTCCCTCTCTCTCTCTTCCGCTCTCTCTGACTCAGTCCCCCTTCCTTGGCTTCTCCTCTTGCAGAAGCCCTTTTACAGTCAAATGCTGTGCTCCAAGTCTTCCTGTGGGGAGGAAAGCGCTGCCCCCTATCAGTTACACAGGCTCCCTGGAATGTTGGAGCCCGCCTCCCGATTCTTGGTGATTTCACTGGGAGAGCAGGGGGCGGGAGCAAGACAGGGTCCTAGTAACTCACAGCACTATTTCTGGCCTGGTTGCTCTCCAAACAACACAACACCAAAAATAGCCTGTGTTTGGGCTGGCCTGGCTCGGCCCCTCTCCCGGGAGTGAGCTGGGGTGAGTGCCCTGTCTCCTGGCCTCTGCTTGCTTAAGATCATGCCCCTGGGACCCCGACAGAGACGGGCCACCTTGGCGTGTCCAGGGTCCCTTCTCACACTGGTGCCATGCCCGATGTCCCCTCCTCCTCCACAACCCCCTCTCCCTTCTCCGGCCACTGCAGGCCTTCTTTCCTTAAACTCCTATAAACCTATAGCCTGAAGAAGGCAGAAGGGCAAGCCCCCAACCCATCTCCTAGCCCCAGCCCTGCTTGTCCGCGGCTGCTTCTTTTCTGCAGTTCTATCCCAGTGTTTCAGAGCAGGGGGCACTGAGAACCATTTAGTCTGGTCCTCCAAATTCGCAGGCACGGGCCCTGAGGTCCACAGAGGGGGCGTGAGGTGTGTGAGGCCACATGGGGCCGTCCGGTGGGGGAGAAAAGCAGTCACTGCAGTGGTCAGACCCGCCCGGGCACGCGGATCTGAAACCTTGCTGGTTGTGTGTCCTTAGGCAAAACTTAACCTTCGGATGCCTCGGTTTTCTTTTTTGTAGATAGGCATGTAGATGACAGTTTATAGAGAGGTTGAGAATGAGCCCCATCTTTCGAGGTTGTCGGTATTCAATGGAATGTTGTCTGTGAGCGTGTGGCGTGTTCTAGGCTCTCACTAAGTGGCAGCCAGCCATGCTTGGTTGGGACAGAGCCAGAACAGGAACCCAGACGGCTCGAGCTGTTAATTTTGATACAATGCGAGCTTCTTGATGTTAGATGTTCTTGTTCGCTTCCCTTGGCCTGGGGTGAGTGTTGGCATCAAATGCCAGCCCCCCTTGTCCGCTCCGGACCAGATCTTCCCACTTCCGCCCCCGGCCTGATGGGCAACTCCTGGCTGATTTTGCAGATTTTAGATCTTAGGAAGATCTTGCTGTCTGGGCTGTGGAATCACACATGGACCTCCCCGACATTCGACACTCGTCCCGATCCCCCGAACATACTGGGAAGGAGGGGAGCTTGTTTTAGTAAAAGGTAAAAACCAAACTGAGCTTGACCGACTCTTCTAGTCCTAGCCCTCTTTTTTTTTTTTTAAAGATTTTATTTATTTATTTGAGAGAGAGAATGAGAGAGAGAGCACATGAGAGGGGGGAGGGTCAGAGGGAGAAGCAGACTCCCCGCCGAGCAGGGAGCCCGATGCGGGACTCGATCCAGGGACTCCAGGATCATGACCTGAGCCGAAGGCAGTCGCTCAACCAACTGAGCCACCCAGGCGCCCCTAGTCCTAGCCCTCTTGACCCATTCTCTGCCACCCACATCCCCGATCCCTTGTCGAGTCCCCAGACGCTTCACCCCTTGCACACACTTCCCCTGTCCCGCGGTCACGTCTGTACTTGGGGAGCTTACTGTGCTGTTGCCCCGTCTCATTGATTTTTATGTCCTGGGGGGCCCAAGGCACAGTATCCCCTTGGGGGCTCTCTCATAATGTCGCTGTTCAATGAGCACCAAAACCACTACACCCCCCAGGCAAGAATGAGCCTCCTCTCTTGGGGGAAAGAGGCAGAGGGAGCGAATGGGGCCCAGTGTGGCCATAAGGGGAAGTCTGATGAGTAGGGAAGGGTGGGGTGTGCAATTTCTGGGGTAGCTGTGACCACCGAGTCTGCTGGGGTCAGCCAGAACAAGGTAGTGCAGGCCTGTGGGGCACCCTAGGGACACCTTCCATTTCTCTTTACTCACATATGTGGATTGTCCAGCTCTGATTCACTTCTTTCATCCTTACCAGAACTTGTTCCTCGTTCTCTGAATTCCTGAAACTCCCTTTGTAACTTTCTCTGGACACATCCTGTTTTATTTTACCCTGGCTGTTGTGTGAATCTTGCTTCTCCAAGATGGCCAAATATTTATTGACAATGAATGCTCGTCGGTGTGATTTAGAGAAATAGACATTTCTCCCTCCCTGAAGGAACAGACACATTTACCGGAGCGGAAGATTTAATGTGCACGCGATCATTAGATTAAAATGTAAAACTGTCTCTATGCCAAGTTGTGGGCCAGGCTGTGAGGCGCAGGCTCGAATGGGGTAGGCGGGAGGCTCCCCAGAGGCAGAGGGACTGGTGCTGGGTTATGAGGGAGAGAGACAGCATGGCCTTGGTGGAGAAGCAGGGAGGTCCATAGGGATGGGGTGGGCCCAGGGGGCACAGAGCCACATGGGGGGAAGGGAAGAAAACACGCCCACCCTCTCTCCACGCTTTCCTCTCCAGGGAGCAATTTTTTCTCTTCTGGCTGAGGCTTCTTGTCTCTGTCTTGCCCTCCCAACGATGAGCAGGCCTCTGCTCTTTCTGTACCCGCCTTCTGGCTCCTTGAAATAGATGTTTTTGTTCTAGTCTTGTTCCTGGCCCTGGACACCACTGTTTTACTGAGCAAATGCCCAGAGAAACAGTGACCCCGGGTCAGTGGGGGACCTGTGGGTGGCAGGGGTCCCAGGGATGAAGCAGCCTACGTGATACAACACAGATGGAATTTGCCACCGGAGAGTCAGGGGCCTCTCGAGTCACTGACCATTCCTCGCCCTCACTTCCTTGCCATATGGAAGCAGACTCTCTCTGCATGTCTTTCCATCTGAGTCACCCTGGGCTACTCGGTAAGCAGCTGCCTTGATGAGCAGTAAGGCATTCGGGCTGCTGGTGTCCTTGGATATACCAGGGCCCACAACCCTTCCCATCACCTTCTCAGGATTTGCAGCTGGGTCTGGGAGAATGGGCGCAGGGTGCTCTCTCTCGACACAGGATTCTCTGATGGTCATTGGTGTGACCAGACAGTCTTGGCTCTGGTTATCACACTTCCTTCCTAGAGCTTCCATCTCCCTAAGATAGACACCACGGCTTGGAACAAGACGCCTTGTGTAGAAAGAGGCAGACGTGGCCCGAGGAGCAGCAGGAGCCTCCCTTGTTCCTCTGAGCCTCCATTTTCTCTTTGGCAATGTGGGGAGGATGATGCCATTTTCGTGATAGTGTCGTTAGGATTTCAAAGGATGGCGTGGGTGAAGTGATCGAGTGTATCTGTCCATACAGAGAAAGTGGTCTGTAGGTTTCAGTTGACTCTAAAATGTGCATTTCTGGGGCGCCTGGGTGGCTCAGTCAGCTAAGCGTCCGATTCTTGACCTCAGCTCAGGTCTTGATCTCAGGGTCGTGAGTTCAACCCCCGCGTTGGGCTCCACTGGGCATGGAACCTACTTAAAAATAAATAAATAAAAATAAAAACTTGTATTCTCCATTTTTCTTCCTGTGTGTCCTCTCTTGAGCCCCTTGGTTCCCAAGGGGAGACTGGGACTCCTGTGCTGGGGGGGGTCAGCTCATCGGGCCCTCAGGTAAGGAACCCCGGAAGCTCAGCAGGTGGGGTTGGACAAGACCCCCACTGGGACAAGGAAGGCCATCAAGGGTTCTGGCCCATGTCTGGCACTGGCAGGAGAGGACCAGGCTTCCCGTGGATGCCTGAGGAAAGCATGATCACCGTGTTAAGAACTTGGCTCTGAAGCAGGTCTTTCCTCATCCAGGACCCAGAATTATACCATGCCCTCCTCCTGAGTCCCTTGCCTAGGTGGCCTTGCTGTGCCCACCCCCCCGCCCCAAGTGTGTCAGGAAATAGCAGGACTGGGAGTAAAGGCTGATGCAGGCAGAGTGAGTAACTTATTCATGTCACAGCTCTACCTTGGGGGTAGGGGTGCTGGCGGGAGAAGCCGGAGCTGCAGGGGCGAAGGGAGCCGAGGTGGCAAGGTGAAGCAGTTCAGACCTGACAAGGGCTCCGGGGCTGGCAGGGCAGGCTGACCTGGGGTGCATTTAACACCCCAGGAATCGTACTTGGGCTCTTTCCTGGAGCCACCGTGTGGGACAGCGTCTAGGGCAGCAAAGAGGAGGCAGGAACCCCCCCCATCCACACCTGCCCCTTCTCCTGACCTTATGCAACCCCACGGGAAGTGCCATGGGCAGGGGAGTCGGCACAGACCGGACGACAGTCTTGTCTATCACCTCTACCCCCGCCCCCTGCCCTGCGACCCCCATTGGAGACCGGCCTCAGTCTTGGCCTGTCTAGCAGGCCTCCTTGACTCCCTTAGAGCCAGGAGGCGTCTTGCACCAAATCTCAGGGGAAACCAGTTGGGGATTATGAAGTCCCAGGTTGCAGGTGTGTCCCCATCTGTGTGAAACCTCCTCATGTGTCCGCCCCAGGCTTGCTCCCTGGGCTCACACGGCCCACTGCAGGGTGGGGGGGCTTGCCCACCCACAGCGGACACACTGCAGGCCCCACAGAAGAGGCCCGAGGCCCTGACCAAGGAGGATGGTCAGCTTCCCGCTTCCCGCTTCCCCCTTCACTGTCCTCAACCCCTGTCCTCGCCACGAATGGTCGAGGTCCTGGCCGGCGGCCAGGGCTGTCTGGACAGGAGGAAACCAGGATGTGAGGCCCAGTGGTGGTGGTAGCCACGGAGTAGTAACACAGAACATTGAGTCCTCAAGAGCAAAATTCCACCGGAAAGAAAACAATACACGGGAGACCGAGTCACCCTCCAGAGAGCAAGGGGGCAAGGAAAGGGACAGGGCCTTCCTGCCCCAAGCAGGTAAACAACCCCCAGCCCGGGGAAGCCCCATCATGAACTGTCTTCCAGGTAGGGATGCTGGCATGGAAAGCTAGAGGTCTGGGTCCTGCTTTGGGACAACTGGGAGAAATGGCCCCCTGCCCCCTTTCTGGCCTTCTAAGGCAGATGAGCTCTTACAGGGGAAAAACAGGATCTCCTGTCAAGGTCAGGAAGATCAGAGGGAGGCCAAAGGCAGAACTGAAAGAGTATTTGGCAAAGAAGACCAGCCCTAAATGGCCAGGGGGCTGCCGGAAACCAAGTAAGACAACTCTAGGTTCTAGGGCAGGATTTGTGGAGATCGGAGCCTGTGGGAGCTCCATGTGGGATGAAGGAAGCCAGGCCAGTGTGGAGGCCAGCTTAGGGTCCCCCACTGTGTGCACCAGAGGGCGAGCTTTCTTCTTTGTTCAGAGCCCAGAACAACTGGCAGCTGAAAGAGACGGAAAGAGACATCCCAAGAGCACCGCAGTGCCCCTGGGATGCATGCCAGCATCCCACGCTGGTGAGGCTGGGGTAAGAAGGATGCTGAGCGTCTGAAAACCCCTGCCAGGCTGTCTGGATACGTGGGTGCCCCTGTTGATGGGTTCAGGCAGTTTCTGACCTGCACATCCATTGATTCCTAAGGCGCTGGGGTCTGTATGCCTCTTCTTTAGAGGTTAGGGGGAAATGTCCCTTCCCCATACTGTAGCGGTACCGCTAGCTAAGTTGTGCAGAGGGGTGGCTGTCTGCCAGGCCCTGCTGTATGCTCAGTACCTGTGTTCATTCTCATCCGGCTCAGAGACCAGGAGGGGCACTGTCCCGATCCACAGGAGACCCACACACAGGGGTGCTGGATCTCTTGCTTGAGGTCACTCAGCTAACGAGAGGAGCTGGTTCCAGCACCCCTAGCTCTTAACCTGCCTCCATACTGTTTTTCAGTGCTTCAGCTGTCCCCCTGGGGTCCCCTGCACATCTGTTCCCCTAAGCCCCCAACCCAGGATGGGCCCAGGCTTCTCCCTTACTATGACCCACAGCTCCCCTTCTCACCCCTGGCTCCTTCCTTCCCCCAGAGCAGCTGCTGAGCAAGGAACTGGTTCCCACTCAAGCCGTGATGCTTTCACACTCTCCCCAGCCACACTTGCTCGGGAATGGTGACTTTCTGGTCTGGTCTAGTGGCTGTCCGCCCCAGCTTCACCTCAGGCTTACCCAGGAGCGTTTGAAAAGTCCTGAGAGCCAGGCGCACCGCTGATGATTTGAATCTTGAATCAGAATCCTGGGATGCTGGTTTGGTTTGGTTTTGTCTTCACTGGCTCCTCCCTGGGATCGAGATTACAACCTTAGACCACCCCAGCGAGTGGTGTGCAATTTCAGACCCTTGTGGCTCCGAGGTGGCCTTTGGAGGCAAGGGATCTCATCGCACTAGAAAGAATCTGCCTGACTCTTCCCCGAGGCCTTGAACCTGGGTCGCCTGGTGACAGGGAGCCGTAGCCTCTGGAGGGGGCTGGGGAGGAGGATGTGCCACACTGTCCTTCGACCCATCTGCTCCATTAGCACTTTCTGGGCGCCGTTCATGTTTGTGGGCTGGTTATCTGTTGACCCTGGACTTCAGGCTCGACTTTGAGATGGGTGGAGAAGGCCGAGAGGAAATGAAAAGCTGGTCCCAGGCACGGAAGCACTGTCTTCAACTTCAGGGCCAGAGAAGCCAGAACGGGCCTCGAATGCCTTAGAAGAGGGACTCATGAAATGCTCAGGAAGACCCCTGTGAGAGCCAGCCCGCGAACTGGATCTGCAAGATGTCACTATCCTAACAGTCATCAGCAAGCTCTCACGGAGAGCTGCTTTTATTGCCCTTTCTGCCCGTGGGGCAGGTAAATGTGCTGGGGCTGGAGATAGGGCTTTGGCCCTGGAGGGATTTAGGGCCCTGTTTTGGAGAAAGGCAGTCATAAAGACAAGGATTTCAGAGAAAGGGTGTGCCAAATGCCTCTTGAGTGATACAGGAAATCAGGCATCCAGCCAAGTGAGATCTGAGGCCTGGGGCAGGCAGCGAAGGGTCCAGGGGCCTGACCTTTGCGATAAGGCAGAGGGGCCCGGTGGAGAGGACAGGGAGGTCGTGTCAGCCTGGAGAAGCAGAGTCATGTGGGGAGAAGGGCCTGGGAAGGGAGAACACCAAAGAGCAGGCCGAAGGATTTGCCCTGTGTGCAGGTTCCTGGTGGAGCCTCCCTGCTCCCTGCCCGTCACCCACCCGCCCGGACCTGCTCTCTTAGTCAGTCCCTGTGCCGGGTACTCCTGCCCCTGCAGCTCTGGGGTGGTGATGAGGCCCCCGTTATTCACGGCCTGAACCGACAACTAGCTCCCTGAGGCACACTCCCTCTTTCCCAGAGTGCAGCCCAACCTGCCAGCTCACCACCCTGGAGGGCTGGCCCCAGACCCAGACGACCTCTGTGGGTCATGCCAAGGTCGGCGGGAGCTCGGGGCCCTGCGGCTGGAGACCTCTCCCGCCTCCTGAGCCCTCCGCCCTGCACCGGCCACCTCTGTCAAAGGATTGGGTGCTCTGGGGAAGCAGAAGGGCAACTGTCTCATTTCCAAGATCTAGCTCCTTCAGAGGGGACACCAGTGGAATTACAGAGAGACCAACAGGAGAGCTTTGGAGTCTAGGAAATTTGGGAGGCTCCTCATTCTGAGCTCCTGCTTTAGACTCGTGCTGAGGAACCCATTCTGCTCTGGATGTATCAAGTAGACTAAGCGCTCAGGACAGGCTCAGGGGACCTACGTCTTCAAGTGTTTATCCTTTCAGGAAGTGGCACCCCACACACTCTGCAGCAGTGGCCGAGGAGGGAGGCGGCAGCAGATCCCGGATGGAAAACCCCTAACACGGAAACTTCCTGTTATCACTTCTGCAAACCCCAAGGGGCTGTAGGTAAGGGGAGGAGGTCCTGTTGTGTCTGGCACACTGAGCTGGTTTCCGGGCTGAATCAGGCCCACAGTTGGGGCAGCAGGTGGAAGGCTGTCGCCTCTGGTCTGGGGCAGGGGCTCCCCTGCCCTCCCTCTGTGACAGGGCTTTCCTGCCAGTGGGTGTTAGCGCTGCAGCTGGACGGCTGGACCGGGCAGACGTGTGTGCGAGGGGGTGGGTGTGAGGGGTAGCGGTGCACTTGGGGGGATGGGCACCCGCCAGGTCTGTGTTAATTGCAGGGCCTCCCTAGGCCTGCTGGGCTTCTCCACAAACCCAGTTCCTGTTTGGGGAAGATCAGCAGGAACAGTGGGTGAAAGAAGGAAAGTGGGAAGGCATTCGTGATGGGGACAGGATCTTTTCTTTTTTTTTTTTAATTTATTCTTATGTTAATCCCCATACATTACATCATTAGTTTTAGATGAAGTGTTCCATGATTCATTGTTTGTGCATAACACCCA